TGGCAACACTTACACTCATGCAAGTATGCTAAAGCATAAACACTTACAGTGTACTCCAAGCCAAACCAAAAAACTAGTTAGAAATCAATGCATGATCTTAAGATGCCTAATGCAACACATGCAATAATGTAACTAAGTAGGCTCGGCCATCTAAGATGGAATATGAATGCAACTCTTTGATACATGTATTCAAGTAAGTGTATTGAAATACAATGCAATTTGTATAATGCGCCGAGCCCGGTGCATGCAAGACAAATATATGACGCACGCATGCAAGCATAAGGTGTGCTAAACAAAACGTGCCCTAATCTAACCATTGAAAGCGGATAAATAAAAGGGAGAAAGAAATAGGGTTGGACGACATGCACACATGCACGCACCCTTATTACAACATTATGCCCTCTCGAAGGAGGGTCTGAATAAACAAAAGCTAAGCTAAGCTACTTATTACAAACCAACTAATTAACTATGCTAAGCTAATTAATTACAAACCGAATTAAAACTAGCTATGCTAAGCTAATTAGAATATTACAAAGATGAATTAAATTAGCTAAGCACATTAACTAATTAATTACAAAAACTGGCAAATTAACTAACTAAGTAAAGCAATTAAAATGGCCTCGAGGGGAGGAAGACATGCATGCTCGGTTTGCTTCGCCTGGAAATGCGTTGTTTTGCCATGAGTTGTCTCTGTTTGCACTCGCGGTGATCTCAGAGCATCAAACACACTTTCAGGTTGCACCTGCCCCAAAATAGGAGCATTTTGGAAAATTTTGCCACAGGTGGCTGGCCGGCCACCTCAACTGGTCGGTAGGCTACCTCAACTGGTCGGTAGGCTACCTCAACTGGCCGGCTAGCCAATACAAGTGGTCGGCAGGCTAGTGCAAGTGGCCGGCCGGCCACTTCCTTTTCCAGAATCCCATTTTGCTGCAACAGAGATCAACAAAGGCACAACAATGCATTTGTATGGAAATGTGTGTGCAACTACTCCCTTTATCATTTCTCAAGCTCAAAGGAGCGCAGTACTCGACTCTCAAGCCACCAATCATGCATCTCAATGCATGATGACCAAAGAGTCAAGCTTGCACAATGTTAGTGAAGGCACAAACAAGACTCAAAGAGCCTCCTCCCTATCATGCATGATCAAGGGTGTCGGCGACCAAGAAATGCAACACATTTCATCACTTCGAGTATGAACCACATTCCTTGTGTTTGAATTAACGTCCGATCCAAACACAATGTAATGCAAACATCATGTTCATCTTTCAATGTTAAAGTGGCATGCACAAGACTCTATCATGTAAACAATGCATGCAAGACATGTTAAGGGGCCAAGAGCACTAAAGCAAGTGAAGAACATTACACATGAGGCATGCACTATCGATCTCAAATGGTCAAACCAACTATGGCCAGGCCAAAGATACTCCAAAACAGTGGCCAAAATACACTAAATTAGGCATAAAAAGCAAGAAATGCATGCTCATTCATTTGCTCGCAAGCAAGGCACAAAGCTTAACTTTCAAGCACATTGAAAGAGTGATATATATGAGAGCATGACAGAGGTACAAGCACTGAAATCATGTGCCAAATAATGACATTTCATGCAAACAACACAAGTATAGCATGTTAGACGACTTAAGCATTAAAACTAGTGAAGTACACAACACTAGGACTATGCAATATAATGCTCAATGGACTAAATTAGCCTTAAACAGACCTCATGCATGCCAAGACAGTGGCCAAAACGCTTTGAAATGATAGCATGAAAGGCAAGAAAATGATGTTTATGCATTGACTCATCAACAAGGCATGAGACACAACTCTTAAACACAATTAAAGAGTGATATACATGAGAGTATGACAAGGCCATATGCTCTAAAATTATGTGTTAGATGATGACATATCATGCAAACAACACAAATAAGGCATGCTAGAAGGCCTAAAACACAAGACTAGTAAAGAGCACTACACAATGAGCATGCAATGCATAGCCTAAGCAACCAAACCAGCTTTGGACAGAGCTCAATTATGCCAAAACAAAGGTTAAAACATGCTGAAATGGGAGCCCAAAAGCTTAGACAAGCATGCATACGTATTGGCTCATGATCAAGGCATAAAGCACAACCCACAAAAGCTATGAAAGAGTGGAATATGTGAGAGTGTGACTATGCTATATACATTGAAATTATGTGAGCAATGAGGCTAAGGCATGCAAACACCACCAGTAAAGCATGCAAGAGGCTTTGAAACTCAAAGCTAGTCAAGGCATTCACACTACAACCATGCACTACAAGTCTCACATGGCCAAGACCACTTAAAATAGAGCTAAGGCATGCAAAAATATTGGCAAAACATGTTGAGATAGAGTTAACACAAGCTAGGATGATAGGCATGAAGCATGTTAGGCCAACAAGTAGGATTACTCTACAAGTATAAGATGCAAGCAACCAATGACCAAACCAACCAAAAACAGAGTTATGGCAGGTCCAAAAAGTCATAAAAACATGCTTGAGCTCAGTTTAAAGAAAGAAAAAATACATGCTCACTTAGTAGGCCAACAAGACATGCAAGCAAGACAAAAGGAGAGGGGACCACCCTCTCCCATTTTGGGCCACAAAACCAACTTTTTACCACTGAAATTCCTCTGAGTTTCAGTGATTAAAAGACCAAGCAAGGGGTGATTCAAAAGCTTAGAGAGTTGGCTCAAGAAGCTTAACAAGCCAAAGAGTAAAAGAGGGGAACCACCCCCCTAACCACATAAGGCTCAAACCAATATTTTCAAGCCTTTAAATAAGAGTTTTTGAGAGGCTAAAAACAGCCCCAAAGTAGCATGCAAAGGTGGTCAAGCTATTAATCAAAACAAAGCTTTAAAAGGGACAAATGCCTTACCCTAGAAGCACAGCAGCAAAGAGGCAACTTCAGCAACAATTTTGAACCAAAAGCAATCCAAAGGCCTTAAATGAAGCTCCAATGGACCTTAACTCCAAAGTGAAGGTGTTAAACTAGGTGTCTTAGTGCAAATGTGTGAAGAAAACACACTTTAAGGCTCAAAATAGCACAATATAGAGAGAGAGGGAGATTTTTGCTCTGGAAAATCTGAACCCTCAAATAGGGGAAGGAAGCTCCCCTTATATAGAGGAGACAAGAAAAAGGCTTGCTCCATCCCTCCATACACGTGTATGGAGGATGAGTTTCAATGAGCCACAGCTGGCTCAAAAGATCTAAAAATATCTAAAAAGGAGAAAAAGTGGTTGTCGGCCAGTTAAGGTGGCCGGCCGGCCACTTCCCCTAGCGGACCGGCCACTCCAAGAGGCTTACAAGGGAGAAAAGTGGCCGGCAAGGTCCTCTCCCCCCCTAGGCAAGAGGTAACAAGGTTTGGCCCAAAAACCAAGGCCAAAACAAAAAATGTTAAGAGGCTCAAAGACAAGGCACTCAACCGAGACCTTCGAGCGCTCGAAACAAGCACAAACACGCGCAATTATCGCGTGCACAAACGATGACGTCCAAGTCTTAAGATCGATAAAAAATGGGGTGTCTACAACCTTGAACCATGGTTAACTTTTTAAAAATTGACTTACGAAAATTTTGAAGGTAAGTTATTTTTGAGAAAATAATACAAAAATATTTTTCTTGAAAAATGTTTTATTTACTTTTCGCTCAGCCAAAAAATAAAAAATAAGTAAAATATACGTCAAAACAGAAGGAGCCTTAATTTTTCCAATTTACTGAAATATTTTTTGGAAGTGAATAACATCAAAGCCTCCGAAGGTGGAAATGAACTTCTTTTCCACAAAGACCATCGCTTTCTTAATAATGACACTTGTTGGAGCACCAACATTCTTTCTCAGCCCAAAAAAGAAGTCTTGAACCACCAAAAAAAAAAAAATGAATATGGTAATTAATTTATTCTCATTAAAAATCATTCATCTCATGCTTATTCATGTTAAATGATGCAACCCACTTTTTTGACTACTCATTAACCCAACCTTGGCTGCTTACAAAGTATTGGTAAAACAAAAAAGTCATACATTGAATTGAAACATGTAAAACAACATTACTTTGATCAAATTAATTTACAGAAATAGTTAAATTTTTAAGAAATCTTATCTTCAGAGTGGGGAAATATGTATATGATTTAACTGATATGGACTATATAATCTTGTGTTAGTGATGTGCAATGGTGGTTTTAATGTAATATTAGTTATAGGTATTCTTTATCTCATATCTCTCTCGTTCTCCTACCTTAATTCTTTTCTTTATCATACGATGAGTCTTTTTTGTTCTGTGTTATGAAGAGTAAGTTTGAAATTGAATGACGAGATAATCTAGACAAAAAAATCTGATCTTTTGGTGTTCTAAGACCAACAATTCATTGCTATAGTGTGTTATTCGTCTCTTTTAATGGATTCAATTTCTAGTGATTAATTTTGGTATCAATTAATTATGATCGATTAAATTAGAAGAGAGACGTACGGACGAGAGAGACAACTCTGTGTGGTTCCTTCCCACTAACCCAAGAGTGCTGGCAGGGTCACACTATAGCTAGAAACTAGGCTGACTAAACAAGAGTTTATTGGATTGAAAATAAGTAGAATGGAATAGTCATTTGGTAGTCTCCTCATGTGATGATCATTATTTTTTAATGGTGAATGATACTTTTATTTTTAATATATTTTTTAGTAAAACCAAATATGAATATAGCATTATGATGAGACGATAATTTTATTTCACTTAATTAACCAAACACTAATTTAAGGTAGTTGAAGCCTATTAGATGCCTGAGAAGCAAGCCAAAGCCCATTAACATATTTGATTTGATCTTGGTGCAAGTTCCACTAAGTTGTTCCCACTTCACTGACTCAAGTTTGAATTTTTCATACAACTGATTCAATCGATCAAAATTTCCAGAAGAGAGGGGGAAAAAAATCTAGTAACACTGTGTGGTTTTGGACACTATAAATAGCACAAAGATTGAGTTTTTGTTATTGAGTTGCATAATGATGGATAGATTCATGAGAGTTATAGCATTTCTAGTTCTTGTGATTCTCACCATAGCAACCATTAATCTTAGCTCTTGCAATGGTGATGTGGTTTGCATTAATAGTGAGAAACAAGCTCTTCTATGCTTCAAGCGAGAGTTCAAAGACCCTTCAAACAAGCTCTCCTCTTGGGATGTTGAAGATGATTGTTGCAAATGGGCAGGGGTGGTTTGTGACAAGTTAAATGGCCATGTAATTGAGCTCTACCTTCAAAATCCTAACTCTACAACTCCAGTGGTTGGCAAAGTTCATCAGAGCTCGGTCTTGGATGGCAAAATTGATCCTTCTTTGGTCAATTTGACGTGCCTGAATTACCTCGATTTAAGTCAAAATGATTTTGGAGGAATTCATATCCCAAGGTTCATCGAAAGCTTGGCAAACCTACACTATCTTTCTTATCCAGGGCAGGATTTGGAGGAACGATCCCCCACCAGCTCGGAACCTGTCAAGTTTACGCTTTCTAAGTCTAAATGGTGGTGGTTCGTACCCTGGTGTCAAATTAAGTGTTGTTAACCTTTAATGGCTTTCTGGTCTTTCTCGTTTGGAGCACCTCGACTTCAGTCAAGTGAAACTTAAGAAAGCATCCCATGATTGGCTACAGGTGATTAACATGCTCCCTTCCTTGGTAGAGTTAAATATGTCATCTTGTGAACTTCATCGCGTTCCTTCTCAACTTCATCGTGTGAATTTCTCATCACTTACTCTCCTAGATCTTTCTAAAAATGACTTCAACTCATTAATACCTGGGTGGATATCAAGTCTCAGTAGTCTCGTTTCGCTTCATCTTAGTTCTTGTGGTTTTGGATGTCTTTTTCCTGATGGTTTTTGCAACTTGACCTCTCTCAAAGTCCTTGATTTGTCTCAAAATAACCTTAATTCTTCACTACCCAGTTGGTTATTTAGTTTGAATGGTTTAGTTTCTCTCAACTTAAACTCTAATCGCTTCTAAGGTCCAATTCCACATGGCCCTTGGAACTCGACCTTTTTGAGATCCTTTGATGTTTCTCAAAATGAACTTAATTCCTCACTACCCAATCCATTATTCAGCTTAAATGACCTACTTTCTCTCAACCTACATCAAAATGGATTTGAAGGTCCACTTCCCGGTTCCCTCTGGAACATGACCAATCTTCGAGATCTTGATTTGTCCAAGAATAATTTCAATTCCATCATTCCATTCAGTCTGTACAGTTGCAGCCATTTAGAATCACTCAACCTTGGCCACAACCAATTCCAGGGTGCAATCTCAAGCAACGTTGGAAACCTGACCTCTGTCACCATCCTTGATCTCTCATACAATAAACTTGAAGGCAGAATACCCATGTCGATGGGAAATCTTTGTAACTTGAGGGTTATCAATCTCTCAAGTAACAAACTCGTGGTACAAGTGTTGGACGTGTTGAAGAGCTTGTCCGGATGCATTTTAGAATCTCTAGAAACATTAGGACTATGGGAAAACAAACTTTTTGGTCATTTCACTGAGCGACTTGGACAATTTAAAAATCTACGCGAACTTTATTTTCAAAACAATTTAATTTCGGGTCCGATTCCAATGAGTTTAGGAAAACTGTCATCCATAGTAGTGTTAGATTTAAGCTATAATAAGTTGAATGGAACTCTTCCAAAAAGCCTTGGACACCTTTCAAAGTTGGGAATACTTTATATCTCTTATAATATGTTGGAAGGGGTTGTGTCTGAAAACCACTTTGCCAATCTGACATCTCTGGTGGAATTATTAGCATCCGTAAACCAATTGAGTTTCGATGCGAGTCCAAACTGGATTCCCCCTTTCCAACTCGAATTGGTATATTTGCGATCTTGGCAGTTGGGACCGCAGTTTCCCATTTTTGGCTACAGTCACAGAAGCATATTTTGAAATTGGACCTGTCCTGCACTGGCATATCTGTTGCCATTCATACTTGGTTTTGGAATGTGTCTTCCTCCATTACTTATGTAAACCTCTCACACAACCAAATCCATGGTGAGGTTCTAAAAATCCCACATGTTCATTTCGCGGATGATTTTTACGCTACATCTTTGTTTTCGGGAGGTTTGTCCGATTTCCTATGTGATTCAGAGGATGGACCATACCAATTGTAACTTCTTTATTATAGCGATCACGGGTTTTCCCCTTTGTGTATGGTATTCCGGACTTGGGTTCCTTAGTTGAGTATTGTTGTATATGTCTCTTTCCGTCCTTTAATTCCTTGTATATGAGTTTTAGGATATGTTGGGGAGGTTTGAAACAGGTTGGGTGTGTTTTGAAACAAATGGTTGATGTCCAATTTTTGGTCTCTTCGCTCGAGCGAGGGTTTGTACGCTCGAGTGAGTGTTATGGGTCTTCAGGTTTCTTTTTTAGATGCAACTTTGGCTTGAGCAGGCTTTTCTTTGCTCGACTGAGGTTGGTTTGGTGTGTCTCTTCGCTCGAGCGAGCTTTCATGCGCTCGAGCGTGCGTCTGCGTCTAGTGTGGACCTGAAGGTTATGTTTCTTCGCTCGAGCGAGGACTATGTTTTGGGTTTCTTCACTCCAGCGAGCTTTCCTTCGCTGGAGCGTACTTCTGGGTTACAGACCTGAAGCTTCGTGTTGTTCGCTCGAGTGAGGCTTTTTGCCCTCGAGCGAGGTCTTTTTGTGTTTGGTCGCTCGAGCGACCATTTCTTCGCTCGAGCGAGGTTCGAATATATCAGATCGCAGCAGTCTCCTTCATCACTCTTTGATCCTCTTTTTATCTCAAACCCTAGAACCGACCCTCTCTCTCTCTACATACATCTTCTCTCTATAAATATATCTAGTTTTAGTGGTTTTCTACCCTAGTCTCTTTGTAAGAAAGGTAGAGCTTGGTGTGGGCTTCACTTGGATCCGAAAAAGTTGGTGTTTGGTGCATCTTTGGGTTTCCTCTCTTTCTCCTTTGAGTCTCTTCATTTGAGGTAGGGACAACCTACTCTTTCCTATGAGTTTTAACATAAATTTTGGTCATTTTTTTTAAATGGTGAGGTATGGAAATTTTGGGAAGATAGGGTTTTGAAATTGAAATTATAAAAGAGGGATTTTTAATTGTTGAGTACCATGTGTATGTGAGACCTTAAAAAATGAAATTGTTGTTGTTGAATCGATGAAATTGAGCTTTTGGGTTAAGGTTGAGAAAATGGGGAAAATGCCCTAATTAAGTTTAAATAATTAATTTGGGAAATATGGAAATGTGAAATTGAGTTGGAAATCATGAAATTGGATGGAATTGTAGTTGAATGGTGTAGTTGGATTAATTAATCACTCACCTGTGAGAATGTTAATTTATTTATCTGTTTGATAAATTTATTATCTGTTTAGAAATAATTGTTTTGAGCTACCGGTGGAGGATAGTCTTGATTATTGTAGACACTGCATGTTGATTAGGGAAAACTAGAACTAATCGATCGAGTTATGTCATTGAATATGACGGTTGGGTTAATACATCGAATATGTGTATTGATTGATCATTGTATATGATGAAGTGTTTACATACATTGCATATGTATATTAGTGTGTGAGGAGATAGAGGATGTACTCCAATGTGTGGGAAGAGATAGGGGATGGACTCCATAGATAATTAAGTTGGCTAGAGTGTCCAGAGTGAAAGTCCCGAAACTTTATGTACATCTGAATGATGTTGATGAACGAAAGTGTTAATAATATGAGTTGTAGTCTCATTTAAATTGTGGATAATGGAAGTGTTTTTAATGATGAGTTGTAGTCTCATTTAATTGTTTGGCTAAATAATGAGCCGTGTTTATGAATTGAATTGGATAAATAAAGGGAAGTGGAATGAAACAAGGATGTATTTGTCATTGAACTGGGAAATGTTGTATGTTGGTCTACAAGTGTTGACCATTTATCTAATGCTAATGTTTTAGTTATTACTCATATTTGGTTTAGAATATCGCTACTGGGCTTTGGCTCACCCTATATGGGACATCATTTTCAGGTACAGGTGATATGCCGCCTCCAAGGTCTTAGCTTGGAAGGTTTAGGAGTTGAAGACTCTGCTTTTTGGATATTTGTTTTGTTGTATTACATGTAATTCAAGCCAAGGGCTTATTATGCTATGAGTTAGAACTCTCTTTTTGTAACCAAGTGTTGACTTGGAAGGTTGTAAGCCCATAGGGCATTTACTTTTGTTGTCAACATGTAATAATTTTGTAAGGAATACTCTGATGAATGAAAGCATGTTTTATTTTCTTATGTTTATGGATGTCATGAGTGACTGGTTTATATGCATTTTTTTGAGGGCGTTACAACTTGGCATCAGAGCGTAACAGGTTTGAATACTTTGGGTACGTGGGAAGTGGTTAGTACCACAATGGGTTTGTCTCGCTTGTTAGAGACTTAAGTGTAATGCTATATGCTTATGTGATAACATGCTTGTGTGACTATATGGGTATTGGATGTAGTTTCTAGGATGTTGATTGGATCATTGGGTTTCTAAGAGTCTTGTTGGAAAGGCACTTGATCACTACCGTTTCTAACTAGAACTCTAGCAAAGCCACGGGACGGTCATTATCCGGAAATGAAATTCGTAAATGCTTATGTGATTATGTGTTTATGTGGAGTGACTTACATTTGTCCAATGTATTAGGACGCGAGTGAAATAGCTTCGGCACATTCGTGAATGTGCTAATGTCTTGCTTACCTTTATCAGGATGTCAGGACGAGGACGTGGTGGTAGGTATGGTAGGCCTAGGAGGCAGGAGATGCCTATACCGAATGAAATTTCGGCACAAGGGGATGGTGTTGGCCAGGCCAATGTGGACGAGCCAGTAGGTCAGCAGGGCATGGGCGCCTTAGCCCGCGAGATGGCAGGAGCATTGAGAGAAACCATGGACATTCTTAAGGCTGAGAATCAAGTCCAGGCCCATATAACTAAGGCAAAGCCGTCCTTTCTGAAGACAAAGTTCTTCCGGTCGAATCCGGACGAGTTTTTGGGTGATCCAAAAGAGCCACTGAAGGCTGACGAATGGCTTGAGCAGATGACGAAGACGTTTGAGATGCTTGGCATTAAAGATGGAGACTTGAAGGTGACCTTGGCATCCTTCCAGTTAAAAGGAGACGCGGGTCAATGGTGGAAGTTTGTGCGAGGGCACATAGAAAGGACTTGGGAGGCTTTCGTTGATGTCTTTCAAGAGAAGTTTTTGCCTCCCACTGTTAGGGAGAAGTTGAGACCAGTGGCAGAGTTTAAGGCCACCTTTACCAGTTTGTCTAGGTTTGCACCTGAGTTGGTGGCGATCGAGGAGCGTAGATGCTTGGAGTTTGAGAAGAAACTGAGGACCGGACTCGTACTTCGAGTGGCCGGGTCCATGACGAGGGAGTATGGGCACCTTGTGCAGGCTGCAGCCCATGTTGAGACTATATGCAGGTGGAAGAGGAGAGGATGAGGGGCTTAAAGAGGAGTCAGGAAGGTCAGGGGGACGGTAAGAGGCAGAGGGGTTCTAACCCTCAGGAGTCCCAAGGAGCATATTCTAGATCTACCTTTCCAGTACCGAGCTCAGGTTCTGGGAGAGGCAGACAAGGAGACTTCACTTGGTACAAATGTGGTCAGCTGGGCCACAAGTCTTCAGCTTGCTCGCAGAGGGGAGGAGGACAGAGAGCAGCTTCATCTTCGGCTCGTCCTTAGAGCCAGAGTTAGGGCAGAGGTTTTGCCCACAGTTGAGTGGCACATTTGGTGCATCTGGTTCGAGGCAGACTCAGAGCCATCAGCTAGCTCAGTCAGTTCAGGCCTCGAGGGCCAATCAGGGAGCCTCTTCGGCTCAGTCTATACAGCAGTCTTATGCTCCGAGAGGTGAGCAGGTAAATCAGAGGCCTTCAGGGTGCGTGTATGTTGTTATAGCACATGATCTTGTATCGGCTCCGTCTGTTGTGAGAGGTACTTTCCTATTTTGCAACTCGGTTGCCAATGTGTTGGTTGATACAGATGCATCACATTCCTTTATATCTACTGCATTTGTATCTATTTTGGGGTTGAAGTTGGCGCAGTTGGCATCTCCTATTTGCGTTGTATCACCTGTTGGGGGTGAATTGATTTTGAAACAAGGGTGTAGAGGTTGTGATATAAAGGTTGCTGATCGTTGGCTTCCATTTTCGTTTGTAGTAATGGTTATGTCAGGTTTTGATGTGATTTTGGGTATGGATTGGTTATCGTCATACCGGGCTGTTATAGACTGTTACCGCCAGAGGGTTACTGTATGTACCTTGAGCGGGGATTGTTTTCATTTCTTGGAGGATCGGGTTGGTAGAGTCTTACCATCGGTGTATGATCCGCGAGGGTGAAATGAGCTTAGTTGTCTTCTCGCTAGCTGTATGACTAGTGAGTGTGATGAGACCGGGACTGAGTTGCCCAGAGTGGTTTGTGAGTACTCGGACGTCTTTCCTAAGGATCTTGTTAGTTTACCACCCCATCGAGAGATTGAGTTCTCTATTGACTTAGTGTTTGGCACGACACCGATTTCTATGGCACCGTACTGTTTTGCCCCAGTCGAGTTGAGTGAGTTGAAGATTCAACTCCAGGAGTTGCTAGATAAGGGCTTTATTCGCCCTAGTACTTCACCTTCGGGAGCACCGGCCCTCTTTGCTAAGAAGAAAGATGGGGCTTTGAGACTTTGTATTGATTACCAAAAATTGAATCGGGCTACGGTTAAGAATAAATACCCTATGCCTCGTATAGATGATCTGTTTGACCAGTTGAAAGGATCCTGTTATTTCTCTAAGATAGACTTGAGATCAGGTTACCTTCAGTTGAGGGTCAAGGAGGAGGATATCCCGAAGACGGCATTCCGTACGCGGTATGGCCATTATGAGTTTCTAGTGATGCCTTTCGGGCTCACCAACGCACCGGCTATGTTTATGGA